GCATCTTGCGTTAAATTTCGAAAACAAATGAGAAATCCCGATTGTACACGACCTTTCGTATCGATTATTGCACTACATTGGCGCCAAATCATGTATGCAGCGAATTTGACATATTCATCGCCATTTTCATTTGGAATAGTCAAATAAACATTTGGTATTCTGAATCCAAGAAATATTTCATACTTATTGTCAAATAATTTGTCCAACGAGATAAGTTTGATCTCTTGGAATTCTATTTCTTTTACTCCATTTTGTAGTATGTTGTGTTCAGGATTGTAATGTGTATCGATAATAAGTCTTATTTTCCTGTGAAAAAGAGGTTCCGATCAAACGACAGGACTCATCAGAATTCCTTGCAGCTGCGGAAGATTGTCATGTATGTTAGATATTGATGATACGTCTAACATATTGTGCAGTGTATCCATGCATTCATGCATTGTTTCTTTCTGTTCGCAGCGCAACATCATTAGGATTCGACTACCACTGAAAAGAGTTCGTAAAGCATTAAGAGCAGTTGATTTAACGATTTTACCAATTTAAGTGTGATATCTTGGTTCAGTAGTATCTAGACGATAATATTGGTCGATAAGATTTGTTAATCAGAGTTTGAAATAATTTTAAATTCAATCGATTGAGAAACTATTGAGTGGAAAATTATTTTGATGAATTGATGGTTTTTCTGAAAAGGTTTATCTATAAATCACTGTTTATGTGTCTCAGTGATTGGGAAAATAGAACATATAAAAGACAAACTGTTCACTTTCCTGTCTATTACAGTCTTATACAATCAAGATTCATCGACAATCTAGTTTACTATGTAAAAAGAAAGAACAGCTAGTAAGTCAATCACCAGAAAAAATCGAATATTGGAAGAGTTATATTGTTAGCTATCATTTTTTAGAAAATCTATTTTACCATGAGTGATGACTAAGTGATTCAGAGACATTCATAGTTGTATATGGATCGTTTAGTGTTTTGACATGCATCTCAATAGTATGCCAAAAAAGTTTCAGCATAACTCCTATGCAATTACCATATGAAACACAATGAACCCCTTTTGAATGTTATATAGATAATCCTTAACACATCTACTACAATTCATGAGTAGATCGAAGAACGAGCATGTCAAAAAACCCTCTAGATTGTCACAGACCATGACAAACAGGTTGATATGGTTAACATGATTAGTGAACTGGTAGGTGTCTTGACGTTTTTCGCTACATACTTCAACATTTCTTAGCAATCGTAGATGCTATATAAATACAATTTTATTTAAATGAAAGTTTTAGTATGAAAATTGACTTGAATGATGAAAAACAAAAAGGTTAATCATGAATACATGGAATATCTTCCTTTGATTTTGGTATTGGAAATTCTTGTATATTCGATAAATATTCAGAAAAATATTTTTTAAAATAAGTCCAACTTGTTTCACTCGATGTATTTAATTGACAATTTGGTGCATTTTCATAAATTGGTATTCGATTAAAAATTTCCTTAAATAAAACTTGATCAATTTGAGTTAAAGAAGAAATTTTCGTTCCTTGAGCTGAAAAGACCAAGGTTCCATTGTATTGTGTTGACATATTCATCCATGGTAAAATTGGTGAAATTCTTGTCCATGATAAATCCATTTGATTAACTTGTGTTAAATTTTCATTGATTATTTGATTTAATGTTGTAAAAAATTTAAAATATTCTCCTGCTTGATAAAATTTTTCTTTTGAATAATATCTTAATGTTTCATTTTCAAATAAAGGATTTGGATAAAATAGATTAACATCAATTGGTAATACGATTTGATTTTCACTTGTTAAATAACCTTTTATTGAAAATTTATCTGTCGATATAGTACTTTGAACAGGATCATTAGCAACATGAATAACAGATACAATATTACCTGTATAAGGATTTGTCCATTTATTTAATTTTTCACCAGTATTAGCATCAATATATAATTGAGTTTCTCTTGATGTTAAAATAATTTGATGATTATTTGAATCATTTAAACATCGTGCAATATTCATTCCGATAATATCAAATATATGATCGACTTCCATTTGATATAAATGTAAGTAAACACTACCTTTCCATGTTATTATCACTTGTTCATTGAGATTTAATGAACAACGTAGTCGTAAAAATTCTTTTAAACTAAATATTCTTTCATTTGGATATGATTGAATAATATTAGAAAAATATAATAAAAGTAACAAAGAAATGATAATAAAAACGAATGGTTTTTGAAAATTCATTTAATATAAAATAAATATTTTCGTTAGAATCAATGATTAAATTCAACGATGACAATGGAAAAAAAAATAATTATAATACAATTTAATCAATAAGATCAGAATGTTAAAAGTCGAAAGATTCTTATCAATAGTGAGAAAACGAACAAATGATTTAATAACGAATGATAAGAGTGAAGGTCGTTTTGGAATCATTTATAGAAGTATTTGATTTTTCAAAATTTTCAAACAAATTTATTATCTTCGAATATAGATAAACGAATTCAATCATAAAAATTACATTTGTTTTTATTTCAGTGAATATTAAAAGATAAATTTTTGATTGTATATATGAGAAATTTGGAACTTATAATCAAATAATTCTCGAAGTTTTATTAAACATTTTCAAACATGACTACTATTTACTTAATCATATTTGATATTATTTCCTAAAATCAAATTAATATTTAATAGAAATATTCACTTTTTTTTCTATTAACATGGTCATTTATTTATCTTTTTAGAATATATTGTGCCATTAGTTTTAACGGATACTTTGCGTTATCATATGTAATTCTCTCGCTTTTTTTTATTTATCTTATCTATTTCTATCTCTATTCAGGCCTGATCTATTTGTAAAGAACAATGTCCATTAGTTAAATATCATTTTAATATTCGTATTATTTCATAAATTGAAGACGTTTGTTTTATGGTGTAAATATGTAAAATGATAAGAGTAAGTAGAAAATTAATTAAACATTAGTAAAAAATTTTTTCTACAAAATTTTCCTAGATGATAGCACGTTGATTGTGATCGATATGAACAAAAAACTAAAATAGATAATCTCACTAGTATTTTCTTTTCATTTCTTTTTTTTTTTATTTTGGATATCGTTTGTCTCGATCTACTCTCTCTATGTACTATCTAACATGAAATAATCTAAACATGATTTATAACAATAAATCATTTTTTAACAGGTACATCATTGACTTCTACCACTCTCTTTTTCTTTTCTACACAAATATATGATCAATAGAAAATCAAAAATGTCTGTTTCATTGCTTATCAAGATACAAAGTTTCTCCATGTCAAATATCAATTCATTATTCTTAATGGCTTAATCAATGATATATCTTACAAATTTCATGATAACACAATCAACCAATTGAATAAATGAACTAAAAGTAAGAAGAATATTAACGTTGAATCATATTCAGAGTGAAACAAAAATTCATAGATGAAAATAATATTTAAATTATCAAAAATTGGAATAATTCAGTTCGAACAATATTAAGATAAAAGTCTACCAACCTAGAAGATAATCTCATATGATTGTCATTAGTAATGGATCATATTCGGTATGATAGAGAAACACAATTATTAAAAATAGTCTGATGAAAAAAAAAATAAAGAAAATGATTAAAAAAAAAAACTTAAAAGTAGAACAAAGTATCCAAATTCAATCGATATTTTATTCAAAAATAAAACATAAATAATGTTCAATGAATCCGTAATAGAAAAATATACCACTAACAATTTTCTAATAATCATTTCTCGTGTCATTCGTACTCCGATTAATCCATAAATCTAATAGAAATAAATATTTTTCATTGAAAAATCTTTACTTTATGTTTCTACTTTGAACAAGTAATAGATCGTAATGATGTACAACTTTGAAAGTTTTGAATAGATTTCTTAGGATTTGTGCATGACAAAACTATTAAAGTATGTCAGCAATTTTAAACTCTGATATTAATATTCAAATTTTATTCTCAAAATAAATTGATCATTACCAACATCGTTTTGGATTTATTCAGTAAGAAAAAACAAATCAAACGAATTAAAATTAAAAATTTTATTTCTCTTTCTTATATTCACACGAATACTTATATTTATTGAGAATTATTTGCAAAAATCGAAAGGAATTTTGAAAAACTAAATATTAATTATTATTTTCTATAACACGATATAAATCAAATGTTTCTTATATCATCTTTAATATATAATAACATTGATCAAAAAGAAAAAATGTTGCAATGTCGTATGGACTGTACGATATTCGTAATATTTTATTAATTATATAAGTGGTTATTTTGAGTAGATAAGAATGCAAGAGGCTTCACTTTACTTTCTTCTCAACTTCCAACTTCGATATTTAACTGTGAAAAAATTTGTTGTTCAAAATAATTTCAACGCGAACATGTTGATGTCAATAGAGGTCATTCGATGATCACTAATATTGTTCTCATTATTTGTCATTGGTTTCTTTCTTCCTTTTCCCACACCGGTGATTATTGATTTTCCATCTCCTTTTTCTCTTCTTTAATTATTATAATCTTTTGTTTTATTTTATGACAATACAACCTCATCAACATTAATATACGGTAGGCATTTTTTTTACTTGAGATTTCTAATTTTCTTACCAGACCGGACTCTAGATTTCGTTGTCATTCAGTCTACACTTTAGTGTGGGCAGGAGTATTTGTCAGCTAGATTGATTGAGAGACTTACAATTGGTGAAGAAGTTAAGCGACAGTATATATCCTACTACATATATGTCACTGCCCTCACTCGATATGAACATATTGAACAGCACTGAAGTGTGCGAAAGGAGAAAGTGTTAGTGTCCGTAGTGGTACACTCTGATGCTAAACGAATATTAAGATGTCCTTTCTAGTCTAATTTACTTAGGGATTCTGACTGGATAGCAGGTGTGTGATTTGAATCCCACAAAGAGCATCATTTTTTCTTCATTATGTCACGTCAGATCATTAACACTGCTTAGCCCATAGGTGCTATATATATTAGACCTTACGGAAAAAACATGACTACACCTGTTCGTATTTCAATTATACTTTATTCATGTCCCAAGCATATTATACAAAGTCCAGTATGAGATTTCTTCTTTTGTTACACAACTTTTCACAGTACATTGAACAAATGAGATTTTGCTTTTAAGATATCATTTGACTCAATTCGTTTGTTTTGGTTAATTTTTTATTCAGCCAACCACGAATTTTTCGAACATATTTGGTGTGTTAAATATAAATCTTCACTGATCTCTTTAAGGAGACATTCAGGTTTTCTTAGAATATGATGGTCGATAGATAAGTTTATCCGATACGGAGAAATATTTAAGCAACAATGATACATATGTTTTAATCTTCTGAAGAGCATCTTTGGCACAAGATTGTGAAGAAAATGATGGAATAATTTGAAATTTTTAAGATAGATAGAGTCACATACAAAAGTGGACGAAGTTAGACTTTATTTGTAATTTTGAAAGAAAAATATGGGTATATTTTCTCATGCTGGTGTATATGTGTACATGTGACAGAAAGAATACATACAATAAAAATCAGAATATATATATATATTCGATTTGATTTTGTATTACGATAACATGTGTTCATTCGATATATGACTTATAAAGAATATCATTCTTTTTTCGATTTTGTATTGTATTTAAGAAATTTAAGTTATTATATCAAACAATAGATGTAAATTATGATTAAAGCTCTAGAAGATCTTTTTATCTACATTATTCTTCTTGGCTACATATTGAAGTTGACGCTTTCGAAATCACACAATAATGATGCGTACGACATAAATCAATTTGCTGCTGTTGACAATTACTTAGATTTCTAAAAGGTTAAATTTTATTCGATACAAGACAATCATGAAGTGTAGGAATATATACTTTACGAATAAACTAGGTTTTAAGAATAGAAGATGGAACATTTTAATGTAGTCTGTTTTGAGAAACGATTTAAAGAAGAATACACGAAGAAATAGAGAGTGTAAGATACAATCATAGAAGCTCTATTAGATTATAACTTATATAAGCATCTTAAAGTTCTCAATAATAGAAATAAATACAAGATTTCTACTTGTCTCATAAATCAACAGGTATAATAGAATGATAAGTTTTTCAATGTGTTAAATTCATGTGTTTGAAGGTTTACGTTACTAAACATACATTAACAGTATTATAGATCATAAATCATACGGTAAAATAATGTCAAAATCTGCATCAGTTCTTGTTTTCTCTGCTCATACATTGTTTCTTTAGACAGAATAGTTTATGTTTTTCCAATTATCATGATTATGTATTGCAAGAACTTTTTGAAAAATCTCCACTACAGAATAATCATCATCACACAATCAATCAAACAAACATCACATTCGTTTTCAAAAAAATACTCTTAGAGATAATGTGCTGTACTAAGATACTTTTAATCAGAAGTATTTGCATCCGTTATCATATGCTCACTTCATACCGTAAGTATGATGCACTCTCTACTCCGTGTTGTCTAGAAAGAACGAAAGATATGTACTTTAATCTTATCTTAAATCATGTGACAACAGAATAGAATAAAATAATTCATAAGGTCACAAAAAAGTCTATATTTAGAATAACTCGAAGCGACTCTTTCATACTATGTTGATTGCCTTTCGTCATTAGTTTAGTATCAAATAGATAAGAAATTTACAGAAGATTCAAGTTTTAGTAAATTAATAAATAAATAAACCGACGTGTCACGACTAGAGATTTGTCTACAGTCACTATCACTATTTAATTTGTGCTATTTTTATTCATAAAAAATCAATAGAAACATACATAGAGAATATTTTTGAAAAGTCATGAGCGCTTGAAATGAATTTTTGATCTAAGTTTTTGGACATGATCAATATAATTTGTCGAACGTTGTTATTGGTTTCCAAATGACAAAAGCATCGAGTCATGGCACACTAATGATTGAAAGTTTGATAGGATCTTGAATTTGTCGTCATTCTTAGTTATTTGATCATCCAGTAAAACCAAATACGAATGTCTTGGAGTTTCTTATCGTCATTTTGATTTTTCGATTCAGAAATAATCATGTGCATCGAAGTCTACGAATTATTCTAGTAAAAAAAAGAGCTAACAAAAAACCTAATACAATTTAAAATCAGAGCTGAAGCTGATTGAGAAAAATTACTGAACTAGATTGATTGATAAACAAAATTTCTAAATAGTGCT